TAGCTCCAACCATAGAGTTGGGAACCCACATCCGAGTGGTTTTGGAAACATCTACACGTCCACCAACTCCACACATCGGTCCACCAATAGGACGCATTGTAGATGCAGCCAGTGCCGCGTACGCGTCACCGATCGGGTGAATCATGCCAGGCATCGCTGGGATACCGGTAAAGGACATCTGTGAAAACGTAAGCTTCAGGAAGATATTATCCGATAAGCGTTAGAACGCAAACTGTTGAAATGGGAATAGAGTGGATATTCAAATAGAGGGTAGTCAGAGTCCAAGTGGAGTCACAAGGTCTATGAATATACTGGCACTGAAATCTTTACTGATTTGCAGACTACCGAAGCACTCCACCGTTTGGAAAACGGTATAAGAGGCTACAAAGGTAGGATTCGGATCTCTATAGGAGAGTTTGTGTTCGCCCTTTAGGTGAATTGAAGAACTACGGACGTTAAGGTCAGGTCCGCTCAGAGTACTCTTTTGAATCTAATAAATACAAGAACAATCTCACTACTTGTAATTCGCTAGTATGTCTGTGCGTGTGTGTATGTCTGTGTGTGTGTGTGTGTTTGTCACGAAATTCATAGCGCGCGTACCAGCAGTCACCTGGAGTTGATTTCAGGATATGATATAGGGGGTGGGACGGGAACATATTTGGTGGGGGACAGAAAGTGATAACACTGATAAGATCTGATAAGGGACGTTAGAACGCAAAGTCACGAAATGCATAGCGCGCGACCCAGCAGCAGTGAGGCGTTGTCTTCCGAATATGATGTAGCGGGTGGGACGGAACATACTTGGTGGGGACCAGAAAGTGATAACAGTTGATAGGGGCTGATAAAAAGTTTTGGGGTAAAATCTCGCAACATTAATGCAAGGCCTAGCAGCATTGGGGCGTTTTTTTGTAGATATGATATAGGGGTCAGAAGGGGATGGGGGACTAGAAGGTGATAAGCTGATAAGGGATGCTAAAAAAAGCGTTGGAAAGCTTATGTCGCGAAACTCACAGCGCAAGGTCAGCAGCACTGAGGCGTTGTTTTGCAGATATGATATAGGGGGGACGGGAACATATTTGATGGGGACCAGAAAGTGATAACGGCTGATAGGGGCTGATAAGGAGCGTTGGAAGGCAAATGTCACTGAAGTTCTTATCCAGATGTGGGATAAGAAAACATCTCATTTCTTCGCGATGTAGTCGTGATCCATTCGACCGCTAATCTGCCCGAGCTTCTTAAATGGTCGGCGTCTGTGGAAATACGATAACTATTGGTGTTATCTCATCACCGGCAGAAGTTATTCGACCGCTAACCATCCCAGTATCCAAAGCATGGTAGATGTTTACGCTGAGGGCTGATAATAAGCAGCCCAAGTAATTGTATTAGTTATCCAAAGCTCATTCGGCTGCTAGACTTTGTTAGTCCAAAAAATGATGGATGTTTATTGGTATTGGCGAACTATCGAAAATTACTGCTTTACCATTTGATTTCCTTAATCCTTCTATTTTATAAAGCGCTAACTTTGTGTGTCGGTTTGTATGTCTGTATGTGTGTGTGTATGTATGTATGTATGTGTGTGTCCGTCCGCAAAATGAAGTGAGTGAGAAGGAAGCTAACGGAATAAACAAACCGCCAACAAATCTGGGTAGCTCGCAGGATTTGCGCTATCAATGTTTTGCACAAGCATGATTGTGATAACCCAGAACGGCTATATAAACACGCACTTAGCACACTTTCGGTCATTCCACAAGGTGATGCTGTGGTAGCCGGCGAGCAGAGGAGAACGAGGGGTGAGTAAGGAGAGGAGGGAGAAGGGAAAGCTTACGCAAGGTAGGGAGGTTCCGGCGCTTGCCGGGGGACCAATCTGGTTAATAATACTTAATCTATTGAAAGCAGTATGTTACTCAATACCATAGCTCGGCTACTCAGTTTCAAAGAAGCCTATAATAAGAACTTAGAATGGAATATTCAAGAATAAGAGGTGGTTCGTTTCGCCTCTTACTCAGACGAACCACTATTTATGTTTTTGTCAACCCATATAAAGTTATGGGTAGTCAAAAACAAAATATTAAACAATGAGGTTACAAGTATGTGAAGATGATGAGATAGGAAATTTAAATAACAAGAGGCTAGTAGTTTTTGTCAATGTTGACATGCGCGCGATAGCTGGCGGAGCAAATCTGATGAGTAAATAATGTGGTAACTTCCATGGCATAACTTGAATTTTTCTACAAAAACTAAATGAAGCACTGACTCTGTGCTGGAGATCTGTCTCGTAACTTTGTCGTAACCTAGCAGAGATCTTTTGTTCAGCGGCAGACACCTGAAACATATGCTTTCGACCCAAACAACGGCATCGAAACATAACGAAACATACCACTTCGATACTTGGCCCTTTTACAGTAATCGTGCGTTCCATAGTAAGAACCGCATCAGGGAAGGGTGGCATTAAACCGCCCATAGAAGACAATTCAGCAGCTCGAGACGCTTGCTCGCTGAAATTTCATATTTCTGCCAAACTCTGGGAAATTTTATCAGTAGAACATCCATCACGGAAGCCAGTCTTTATAGAAAGAAATCATAGCTCCCAAAAGTTGCAAAAGTTGAAGCACATTCCAATTTCACGAGCCACTCTATTTACAGTTACATTAATTTGTAACTCTATATCAACCGTAACTACACATTTTGGAAAAAGATACTCAAATAGCTGTGCAGAAGATTTCTCCCTTCAATTGTCTACTGATTTCTGACCTAACAAATCAAAAAATGTCACAGGTCACGAATACGATTCGCAAGCTGCTTCCTGTCAAATTTTTAAGAAAAACCGATTACGAAGCTTATTAAGTAAAGTGTTTTCAAATGCAAGCTGCACATCAAATGGTGAACAAAGGCTCGATCTATCACAAGGGCTAGTTTCACTGTAATGACATTAAAATTCCTAACCCCAACGACAAATGAAAAAAATCAAAGA